CATGGGTTCGAATCCTACTCGACGCATGGATGTCTGTGTGCCTTTATTCCGTGTTTATGTTGTGTGTGTAAGAACCTTGCGACGGGCTGATCCCCCGTCCAAGGAGTCCTACCGACTGTGTCTAGATTAAGAAACTGAAAAAGCGGCCAAGGTCCACAAGGGCTGTAGAGCCATAAACAAACAGATCCCGGAGGAGGTGAGAAACGCGATGGAAGTTAGCGGTCAGAATAACTCCCGCTGAACCGGTGCGATTTGTCGAGGCCGCTTGTCGTGACACTGCGCTAGTGACTCGTATGTCGTGTCTGAAGCCTGACGCTGACTCGGAATTGTTTCCAGCAGTGACGTGAACACAGCCGCACCCACTTTCTCGTCATCCCCCCTCCATACTGGTACTACGGGCCACGATCCGACATAAATCAACACAACTAAATACTTACTGTCAGTCTGGAAGAGATCAGCTCATACAACGATGCTGCAAAGCACAATTCATTTGATACTTACAATACAGTCGATAGTTAGACAAGAAGAAAGAGAGAACTGTAACCTTCACCCTTCATAAAATATTACTAGAGTTATCAAATTAAGGAACATTAAACGAATGGACACGTAGCAGGTATGGGTGAAACAAGAACTACATGAAAATTTTGGGTTGGAACATCTTAAGAAAGAACTGAGAGACCTAAGTGTAGGCGAAGGGATAATATTAAAAAGAATTTTAAAGAAACATAAGGATATGGACTGGATCTATCTAGGATAGAGTCCACTGGCGGGCTCTTATGAACATGGTAATTAAGCTGCAAGTACCATAAATACCTTAACCAACAGGACTATTAGCTTCTCGTCAAGGGCTCTTTTTCCGTGGATTTAGTTGGGTCCAAGTATTATATTCAGAAATCTGTTCTCACAACAACTGACCCAGAAATTATGGCTTTGGTCGAGTATGCATTTAGCGCACAATGAGAATGTCTTGGGCGACCACCCAGTTGCGACTTTCCCAATCGTATGATCGGCCACCCAACTGGCTTCCTGCCTGGCTTACTCTGAATGTCCAAACAAAAAACAGTCATTTTACCTCAGCTCGGTGACCGAATATCTCGGTCGACAGCAAGAGACTCGCCGCTCAGCCTTCTGCGTCTCTTGTTTGAGTGACAATTACCTGTACCAGACAGAGAGTCGGCTGTAGGCGCTTGTTTACTTGGTAAAATAAACACGGCATTTCTAACTTAAACACATTTCACGTAAACGCAGTATTTTGAATGCGCAATGCTAGATACTGAGTAGCTTCACAATTTGTTGTACCATTTATTTCATATCGTTAGGATGTCTACATGAATCATAATTTCTTTCATGAAAGTAACAAGAACAGACTGAATTCCGGCAATGCTTCTTCATGTTCTGTCTTCTGTCTGCTGTCTAAAAGCACAAATATTAAAATATATAAAAAAAACATAATTTTGCATTTAGTTTTGTATGGATGTGAAACTAGGTCTCTGACATTAAGGGATGAATATGGGCTGAAGGTAATCGAGAACAGGGTGCTGAGGAGAATAAGTGGACCCCAGGGGGATGAAGTGATAGGAGGTTGGACAAAATTGCATAATGAGGACCTTTGTAACTTGTAATCTTTGCCAAATATAATTAGAATGATCAACTCAGGGAGAATGACATAGGCATGGAATGTAGAATGCATGGGGCGAAGAGAATTACATATACGAGTAGGATTCTGGAGGGAAAATCAGAAAGAAACAGACCACTAGGAAGACCTAGAAGAAGGTGGGAGGATAATACGAGTATTAAAATTGATCTTAGGGTAATAGGATAGGGTGGTATGGACTGGATTCATCTGGCTGAGGATAAGTGAATACGCTAACGAAATCTCAGCTTCCATAAAGTGTCGGGAAATGCATATTTATAACCTGACATAATCTAACCTACCATCACCTAATATAACCTAACCTGAAGTTATTTCACTTCACTTAAAATGCCAAAGCACGTGTATACGTTAACACGGAAAGAGACATTGTTAAAGAACTCGATGTTCCGTCCATAAAGAAATTATATTTTGTGTTTCTTTTTTTAGAATAAAACACGATAATTGTCTTGAACTTCACTAGAGGATTTCAACTTCACAATACATATGCTTATGTAGTGCGTTTTCTTGGAAGTAAGAACCAAACTCTAATTGAAGATTACACTAGCGCCCTCTCCATTTAGAAAGTAGTGACTGGTGAACACACACACTCCGTGGCTTGAGTCCGAAAGCGACCTATACAGACCGAGCGACCGCCGCTTGTCGGCAAAGTTAGTGCCAACTTTAGCGGATAGAGGGTGTCGCGTGGTCAGCGCAACGAATCCTCACGGTCATTAATCTCGGTTTTCTAGACCGGAGTGACTGGTGAAACGTCGTGTAAATATTTATCTCTGTGGTGGAGGTAAGTGACCGTTTGAAGAAATGAAGGGTTCCCATAAAGAGGAATTCTCCTTCAGTGGTGGGAGAATAATTGCTTTTGATGGGGTTTCACTTTTCCACATTTTCCAGGGAACAGGTTCGCCGTGCGACAGTTTGGGAACCGCAGCGTTAGAGCCTTGAGCCTCAGAATTGCCTGTCATTACGGCGCAACCTTGAGTCAGTGTTTTGGTCTGCACGTGTCAACATCCATGTTACGTTCACGTTTCCCTATGCACATACTTGTATATTGTTTATTGGTTTAATTTTATTGAACCGCACGGTAAACTTATACAAGCGAATTATATTTTGCTTACCAGGACAGACACCAGTGGAGGACACTTAAGAACCTTCGGCTTCCATAAAAGGTAGGGGATTTCTTGACTAGATAAGCGACTACTAGCTCCTGAAGAAATACACTCCATATATTCCATGTAAATTAGTCATTAATAGTCCATCTTATGATGGCGGAAGAACATTCAGTGTGGAGTCTTCAACCTTTGTAAGCAGTAGGTGTGCGAACAGTGAATATTGTGAAGAGTTCCATCTTCTGGGACATAACGCCCTGTAGTCTGCTGGAAGCCGACCTAAGTTTCGGAGGAACATATCGTTTCCATCTTCAGGATCGAAGAATAAGACAAAAAACCATTATGAAGCAGGTAGCGAGCAGGTCTGCGGTTGACTTTCAGCGGACTACACGGCGTTATATCTCAGAAGACAGAGCACTTCAGCGAAGGATTTGTGACCAGTGGGACAATAAGAGTAACTTGGTGTTTGAAACTTATACGTTGACTTACTATAGGACACATACATTTTACAAATCATACTAGCGATACTGAAACCTAACTCCATGGTCAGAACAGTTTTTGAGAAAGCAACAGTCGTTCGGCTGGTCATTCAATTTCCAAGCTTTTTATGGAGCCGGAAGGTTCACTACCGTGGTCATAAGAGCCCTGTCTTAAGTCACAGCAGTTCAGTCCACATCCTCATATACTATTTCCTTAAGTTCCAGTTTATTATTATCTCTTCATATACGCTTAGGCCTTCCACCTTATCTCTTCCCTTCAAGTATTAGTTCTAAAGCCTTGTTGGTATTTCTCACCTCTTGTGCGTGCTACATGTCCCATACACCTAATTCTCCTCGATTTGATCGCTGTAACAATATTTGACGAAGAGAAGGAATTCGCTGTTATGTAATTCTCTCCATTCTCATGTTAATTTTTCCTTCCGAGGCACACAAAGCCCATTGCTTTCACACCCTTTTCCCAAACTCCCTCAATGTTCTTCCCTTAAGGCGAGAGACCAAGTTTCATACCCAAATAAAACAAGTCAATTATAGATTTATATGTTTTAACCATTATGTTTTGCATAGCAGATAGGGTGACGAGATTCTGAACTGAATGACAGCAAGAATGTCTAGAATGTAACCAGCTCTTAACTTCATCAGACTCCTAAAATGCAATAAGTTATGGCAAAGACCTGTTCCTTTGAAATTTCTGAATGATTACATCTTTTCAGTATATTCAGTCAAGAACAGTGACTATGACAGGCCCATGAATGCCGATAATGTGACTTCTTTGTCGTACAGTCAAAGTACTAAGAGTCTCATGGTCAGGACCCATGTGTGTGGGCCTCTCTCCTTGCTTGGGGGCGGAGGAAATAGCTCAGTAGGGCTCGTCCTTCAGAAGGGGCGTTAACGTAGCACAGGCTACAGAATCTAATTCACCTGAGGCTAGATCTCACAGATTTCCTGGACACTGAGAGACGCAACATCAAGAATTAAAAAATGTTTATAGTACACAACGAATCCAGTACTTAATCAATATAACTCGTATAATTTCCTATCAATTCCCTAATCTTGAAATTCTAAAACAAGTAGGATAAGGTACGAAGATATTACACACGCGAAGAAATTTCATTATCTGTACTAATGTCGGTTTATATACCTACAGGGCCTATACATTATACAAGTTTCTACTTTCTTTATTTACAAATACGGGTTCTAAATGGAAGTTTGCCGAACAAGAGCGTCAGTGTTACTAGGTTTCTGGGCTTTGCCCATTATCCGGTATTCTGAATTGGAACAAAATGTTTCGGGAGCTAGATCTACTCCCGTCCTCAAGTGAGGTGTAAGCCCCCACCTAAAAGTTTATTTCTCTCAGAACTAATCCCAGTTACGAATACCAGAGTCAGTGAGTAGAATTCCAGAAAATCCGCAGTATAAACTGCAATGCGCCGTCGACAGAATTCCATAGAAAAAGGTCATTAAATACCAAGACTTCTTTTCCGGAAAATAAACTAAAATCATTTTATTATGCAATATTGTTTCTAAGCTAGTAATTTATGGCGTTCTATTTTAAGTGAATATGGCGTGATTCAGCGCTTTGTGACGTGTGCGTCAGTCTGTCGGAATGTTTTGCATAATATATTAGCGATATCTTTACAGGACAAGAGGGAATGGATATTGTACATCAACAGGTTTCCATTTCCTATTGAGTGCTGTAAACATTTACGCTTTCCGTAGACAATGCCACAAGTAAACTCGTAACTGCGTCCTCACATTCGTGCGTCCATGTCACATTTCCGAAAGAATTCAACGAACTTAAGAGGAACCGGGCATGAAGAATGTAAACAACCCGCAGTGGGCCCAGAGTTCCCTTCTTGGTGCATACAATATGGGATGTACTATTCGCCAAATATCATCGGTGCCATCAAATTGAAAAAGCTGAGATGGGTGGAAAATGTAGCACGCAAGGGGAAGTGACAATCATTCCAAATTTCTGTCAGAACACATTGTGAGAAAAAAACCAATTGTGAGACGTTACCTTAGATAGGAGAATAGTAGAAAGTGTATCACAAAGTCAGATGAGGATTGGAATGAACTGCCTTAGGATCGCTCCATTGGCGAAGTGCTGTGAACTGGGTAAGTAACTTATTGGGTACCAAAGTGAGGTATCTGTTGACCAGCTGACCGTCTATCAATTTTTCAAGCACTCCGCTCCTTTGAATTACTTGAGGGTTCACCACGACTTTACACAAATCTGGAACTGAAAGTCGTCAATTTTTTTTTTCGAAAACGGAACACAAAAATACATATACTTATTTCAAATATTCAGATATTTTGTGTACAGTACAATAAAAATGAATCTAGACCTCGTGTTGGCCTATAATTCCTACACACTGTACACGATGCCTAACGGTTCTAGGTAAAGAGATAGACGTGTTTGTTTTTTCATACACCCCTCCGAAAGCTACTAAAATTAACTGACCATACATTTTAGTAATATACAAGGATTAGTAGCTTTAAGCAAAAGCAAAATTCGAATCGAGGAATAAGAACACAAATCCTGTGACTTCAATTTCATGGACCTTTTGGAACGAGGTATATGTTGTCGGGCAAATTTCGGCACAGAACTGAAAATCCGAAGACATATAAAATGAAAAAAGACGACGACGCTTAAACCAACACCGGCTTACAAGTTGGCTTGATATGCTGGCTGGTAACTTAAAGATACACAAATGAGAGACATAATATCTCAAACTAATCACATGCATGGCCGCGCCATAGCTCACTCGGTTAGTCGCTGGCTTCCCACCGCGGCGGCCCGTGTTCGATCCCCGGGTCTGGTCAAGTGGGATTTGTGTTGGACAAAGTGGCGCTGGGGCAGGTTTTCTCCGAGTACTTCGGTTTCCCCTGCCAATCTTCATTCCACCAATTGCTCCACAATCACCCTCATCTATCATCTGGGGCTGGTACAATAGGCCAGAAGTGGCCGCAGTACAAGGGACTTAGTCCCACCCCACTAGCAATAAAAAACCCTCATGCATCATAACCTAACCCACCTCAACCCAATAACCGAAAGTAACCTGAACTTGAGTATTACCAGGGCCCGGATTTTGATGACCTGAAAATATTTAAAAAATGACCGTAAAAATCCAGAAAAGTGACCTAAAATATGACCCAAAAATGTAATATGCAGGGCCCGGATTTTGATGACCTGAAAATATTTAAAAAATTACCTATAAAATGACCGAAAAAATCCAGAAAAATTACCTATAGGAGAAAAGAAAGAACACTTAGCTTCCTTGTTATTCACATTTCAGAAAACATATGAAGAAAAATTCCCTAAAATGACCAAAAATGTTAAAAAATACCTTTAAAAGTCCAAAAATTTACCCCCAAAATGAAAAAATGACCTTAAACCAAAAAAATGACAAAAAATTACCTATAAAATTTACATTTGTGTAACCAGCAGCTCATATCCGAGATTTATATATTTAAGAGTATCGCATAGGATACAAGGAGAAAAAGACGACATGTCACCAAAATCCGGCCCTGAGTATTATTGTGTGCATATGGAAACCTGGAGGTTTCTGCGAATTGTTGACGTTACAGTGTTAATACAGCGACAGATTTCGGAAGACATTATTGTCGCGGGACTGAAATGGGAGTGGGGAGGGGCGACGCAACTTGGCCAGCGCATGTCTCTCTTTCTCGAATTCTCAAGAATCCCTGTTTGTCTCCCTTCTGCTGTGCTCGTTCCTTCCATAAAATCAGCGAATCTCCCCGTTCCCCTTACGATCCGAACATCCCGGTATAAAACTGGAGTTGCAATCCAAAGAGAAGACAGTCTTATTCTCAATGTGAGCTTAGATGCGGCGTAGAACAGCCGTGTGTGTGGAGAACTAGAGGTGAAGCCGAAAATGCTGTTAACTCGCAAGTCAGTTCACCACAAGACAGCGGAAGACAGTGCAGTGGTGTACAGTGCAAAAGTAGCGGATAATGAACTTAAGTTTCTACCGACATTGAGACTATACATGTTTCTAAACAAGATGAACGTTGCAGTATCTTAATACTCACCGTCGCAGAACCTCAAATATCGCTTAACCTCAACTCACCAAAACCTTATATAAAACCCATACTCCAGCAACATTCGAGAGAGACGAAATTCAGGCATAAGAATATGCAAAGGAGGACTCGAACGATGGAAACACGCAGCCTACTATGCCATTACTGAAAGAGTCATTTCGGGTTCGAGGAATAATTAACCAGTTACATTCCAGAATAGGATGAAGGAACCGATTCGTATTGAATCAAATATTTACGTTTATGTCTTAACTGTCGTCGGCGTCGAAGTCGGCTCCGACTGTAAGCATGGAGCATGTTTCGAGGACAATAATGACAATATAACTTGCAGAATGGTATCCGCCTGTGGTGTTTCTGTATTGCTCCTTTTTTAATCCTCACAGTTTCTAATTTTGTTGTTATGTTTCTATTTATTTCGTATTCAGTGATTTTAATTGAACTGTAGAGAGCTAGTTACCAATGGGGCTGTAATTAATATATAATTATTGTATGTTGACGGTCTTACATAAATATAGTACACCCATCTATCCCTTACCAGGACTAATAAATTATAACAAAATATTTAGCAACATAGAATAATTAGCAGATTCGTGCAGAAATGCATGCAAAGTGGAAACTGAAGAAGGAAAGCATTATGCCAGCGATGCCTTCAGCGAAGCAGATCCTTCGGTGTGGAGAACTGCATGGTAAACTAAGTTTCCAAGCTCGTAGAAATCAGTCCTTACAGAGCAAGCTGGTTCAAGCAGTAATACTTCTAATTTGTAGTCTGGAGGTGCTCGATTCGAATGTGGTTCGGGTAACTAGCTATCTTGACTGAGGTTCTCATGCGTTTCCTCAGTCCCTTCAAATAAATACCGGGAGTAGCTAAAATATGTCACGAAAGTTTCCTTTCAAATCAGTTCATAAATCATTAACCACCTTTCGATTGGGCGCTATACAAACTGGGCTACCGACAGCATTTTTAAGTAAGCAATATATAGATAAATAAATAAATCGGTTACAGAGAGGAGAGAGAATTGACTGTTGTCATAATTTTTTTTTCTGTGGCGCTACAGCTCCAATTTGGGCCTAGGTCTACCTCCATGAAACTCTCCGTTTCACTTCGGTTTACTAGATCTTACACATTCGGTAGGACTCCTTGGGTGGGTGATCAGCTCGTCGCAAGGCCTCTACCTATAGACAAACACAGAAAAACGCACACAAACATCCATGCCCTGAGTGGGATTCGAACCCACGATCCCGGCTTCCGAGCGAGCGAAGAGAGTGCATGCCTTAGACCGCTCGGCTACCATGACCGGCGTGGTCATAATAGGCCTGTGTATTACGAGGGAAACTGTGGTGATGTCCTGACGAAAGCACAGCTGTCTACGACATTTTTAACGACAGAATCAAATTTATATCATAGCACAATATCTGATGTTTTGTTGAATAGGACGCTCCATTAGTAAAAAAACTAAAGGGAGGCTCTCGTGAAATCGCTTGTTATGAAAACACGTTTGGTGACAAGACAGATGTATAGATAAATGTGACAGGGGTAGAGTACAGAGCTCAAGAGCAAAGTTTCCCCAGTGAGACGCAATACATTCAGGTTCCTCTGCAGGGCGAGAGGTTCACCCCTGATAGGGCTGCCCAGTGCCGGCGAACTGGACTCGTTCCAGTTTCGTGAAGACGATGGCCTTGTGATCCAGCTGGAGTCAAGAGCAAATTATCAAGTCGGTAACTGGACTGTTTGCATTTCTGACAGCAGAGGTTCAGATCCAGGCAAGGGTGCTGAACTGTCTTCTCCTCCGCCATGTGCATAAGCACTATTGGGGCGCCAAGGACAGGATAGTAGGAGTCAAACTCAATCCAATATCTGGTCATGAGCCCCAAATGGGGTTCGACACCAAGACAGACTGAATGACTGTCAGTCGCAATGTGACTCTGAGTGTAGTCAGTTGAGCTGAGTTAGTTGGTTGGTGCGTGACTGAGTTAGTCAGAAAACTGCTGAGGTTCGGTTGTTGTGAGCTGTTGCTGTGAGAAGCTGATAGCTGAGGCCGAGGTTAGTTCTGGAACTCAAAGGAAGGTGAACGTCCGCCGTTGGAAGTCGCTACCGAGCAACGGCTAATGAAGACATGATTGTGGACATTAGTGTGTGAGTGTGTGTGTGTAATAGTAAATTGTAATCATGCGCTGTAACAAAGAGTCCAATAAATCCGATCATCAATCCAAAACCCGTCTATAGGCATTGTATCACGTGACAACTGGTGTCAGCAGTGGGACTGGATTGAAGACTGCAGTGGTCCGTACCGTCAGCCTACAAAATGGAGCAAATGACGGAACCAATGTTGGAACACCTGTTACACATCGTGGAAAAGTTCGAGGCCAAGATGATGACCAAGTTAGATTCCTATCAAGAAAAAATGGATGCCTGACTAGAAAAAATAAAGGACGGCCGAAAAGAGGCGACTGCCCGCCTAGAAGCGACTGAGGCCTATCCAGAAGAAATGGAGGGAAATCCAGATGAAATGAATTCCGTAGCGAAGCAGCAGGAATTTCCTAACAAAGAGGCCGCATTGGAAATTGTCGGAGTTCTGAAGGATCGATATGGGGACCGGCGTTTAGCCGTAGGGCGCCACCGACAACCGAGAAACTGACACAGGGTGAGGGTGGGTCCCGGAAGAAGTTGGCCACCGTCCGCACACTGAGGACCCGTCGTACCATTCCCGCACCGCTATAAATTCGTTGATAGGCAACAACTGCGGAAGGAGCAGCTATATAACAGCCGTTACTGAGAAACGACTTCGCAAACAAGCATGTTTGTACGCAAACAATTGGAAGCAGCAACAGATGAACGGTGTTTTCTGCGCGGTCCGTACAGATATGTTATAAGCAGGACAGTAAGCGAGAGCCAGTCAGTTGAGAGTCGACAGTTGGAGCAATGAGTGAGTTGTGAGACAGTCGCCAGCCTGTAAGAACGTGAGTACGGAAGCACAGGACTTTTTGAGATCCGCCACCAGGCAACGACCGGCGAAGACACAGCATGCTGAGAAGACCTAGTGTGTCCTCTAGTGATT